CGCTCAAATTCAAACTTCATAAAGTTTACGGCACTCAGGAAAAAAAAGAGCCTGTACAGTTACGGGGTAATATCGGAGGAAAAGGGTAGCAGCGTCGCATAGACACACGTAACAAGCACTCGGTCTCTCACTCGTTGTGTTCGCGCAGAGTGCAAAAGCAATTAAAAACAATACTCGCTGCGAACTCGAGACTCCACCTTTGGCGAATTCATAAACAATTGGAGGCAGAGACGCCCTAGAATCTGCAATGCATATCGCAATTACGGCCGGCGTTCCGATCCAATCAGCCTCGCAGTCGTGACCAGCTGCAATTATACACGAAAAGAAGTACATCACCGGGTCGGAGACTTTCGTCTTGATTAAAAAATAAAAATGGATCAAAGGAAAGAGGTGGCTATGACAAAATTACACCCGAGTGTCGCCGCCGATGATCATTACTCCTATACCATTAATAATCGTCCCCTCGACCGGGTCAACAGCAAATCCATACGCCAACCCGCGCTTCCACAGTACCCCCTTCGACCCTGTCGTGTTGTTTGATTCGAGCACGTAATAATAATAATAATAATAATAATAATAATAATAATAATAATAATAATAATAATAATAATAATAATAATAATAATAAACCTCGAGGGCGCTCGAGCATCATCGCCACCCAGGGCCACCGCAATTTGCATCCGGCAACAGCTCGTAAGAACTTTAATAAGCTCCGGACCTTCGAGAGTCGATTCCTTCCACGCACGTGTACCTACAGCGCCCCTCGGCCGGCATAACAATGAGTACCGATGTATGTATGTATATATATATACACACACGCGGCACAACGAAGACGAGGATACTATATCTCCCGTCCTCGTTATGGAACCTCGAGTGCGAGCTGTGTAGCATCACCAGAGAGGGAGCAAGAGAAAATAGGAGAGAGCGCACGGCTGACCGCACACGTATACGTACTACTGCGGCGGCCCTCCTCCGCTCTCGGATTCCCGTTGTATGTACCTGTTATCATTGGTTGGCGCATTGTATCCACGTACAATACACAAGTCGCCCGGGCATTTTTATCCCGCTGTATCGCGTATACACGTAAGGGGAGGGGGGGCAGCGGTGGCTGGACCGTAGATCGCGTGGTCGGGCGCATTGTGACATCGAGAAGCAATCACAGCCGATTGATCCCCGGTACATCCTACCGGTGTGTATTGTCATGCATTTCATTTTAATACGAGTGCCCGTAAAGCTGCTCGAAGGAGCAATATATCGATACATGTGTAGAAACAATGTGAAACCAAAGAGCACTTGAGGAGGGCTCTCGCGTGTCCGGGAGAAATATTTCAAGATCGGAGTCGCATGATCGATTCGGTGCGAGCAGAGGGGGGGGAGGCTAATATGTGGGGCGATCGATGGGTGTACATCGTCAATACGTCCGCACATCGCGACGGTGACGATGACGAGACACGAAGGCGCGTGTCTCTTGTGTACTGGAGTTTGTCGGGACTTATCGGCTCGACGGCACGCTCGCAAGGTATACAGTTTTGTGCGACGAGCAGCCAACGGAGAACTTTAGCACCTGATGCATCTTGGCCCAGGCAAGGCTATATATATATGTACATACATCCTCGAGAACTCCATTAACTCGTACCTGCCCGAAATGACGGAAGCTCGGGCGACGAAGAGTGTGTGTGTGGGCGTTTCGTTTAACGATGAGCTTTTGATTAAACGTGCGTGGCTTGGCTATTACCGTAGCGGAATTATCGATTGTCCCTGGGCTCCTGTGTATACGTAATTTACGGGATGCGGGGCCTCGATAAACCGTGGGATTTTCGATGGGCTGGGCACCATGAGCAATCGAATCTGGAGTTTTTATTAAATTTCGTGAGCTCATTGCTGTGAGGATCAATTTGTTTATTTTTTTTTTTTTTTGTTCCTCACCCGGAACGAGAAAAAAAATTAATATGGTAGGTGCAGTTGGCGTGGGAAGTGTGTCAACGCGAGCGTGTTTATCTTTCATCAAGTGCCGCGTGGCAGCGTAACACTGCGTTTCAGTGTAATTGAATGTATTTTCCCAGTGTCGCAAACCATATATTAGGCACGCTGAGGCTTTCCGGTTCGATATGTGATAAAAATGCATAATCCCTTCAATATACGAGAATAACTATATTTAACGATTCGGAAATGGTCGATCGTCACAAGGCTCGAATATCACGGCTCGGCAACGAGAGGGCGAGCTCACTTTAATCAAGTAAGACATGAATTTTAACCCCAGAGAAAGGAAGAAGCGGAGAAAGAAAGCGTGTAACTCAAAGGCTGGAGTGGTGGAGAGGGGGGGGGGAGGGTTAAAAAAACGAGATCCAATTTGAGAAAGCTCCACGTAATTAAGTAAAACGCGCTTATGAGTCAGAGCAGCAGGAGACCCGGGAAAAGTGGGTATGGGTTTTTCAGAACTTATTTCAATTTCCACCGAAGCGCCAGATCGTGTCTCCAAGTTTTTCTCGGTGTCGTGCTAAGGGTGGTTGTTTCGAGTGGATTGCGGGAAACAATCAAGTGCACTCATCAGCAGCGTATACATATATTTCGGCCGTACAAGCCCCTCACTCGATGAGGATTCGCTCTGGTGGAGAATCAGTCGATGAGCACGTGTCACTTGAAATTGAACGGATCGCGTTTCCAGTTATTTACTATTATTCCAGCTTGACTTTTACTAAAAAAAAAAAAAAAAAAAGCATAAAAACAAAACAACTATAGGGAGATGCTCGAAATACATATTTATTCCCGTCGACACGCAGCTGTCAAGTGAATATAGGTCAATGGGCTGTCGGGGACTTGTGCCGCTGTTTGTCACTGGTGCGTTCATCCAAGCGAATCATTGTCAAAGCTTGTAATGTTCGCCGTTCACTCGAACAATTTTCGCGTCACGGTTGTCTTCGTTTTTCGCCCTTCGTCACACGCGACCCATTGCCAGTTTGTCAAAACACCGCCTCATCCGCACCCCGACCGCGGACCCTTTGTTCGACATCCAATGGATCAATCATTCCCACCCACCTCGTGTCCATTAAGCGCAGTTCTCGATTCGTTGGCTGAGTCATCAGTGTCCCGCGGATTAAAAGAAACAAATGGGACCCGACATCAATTATCTCCGGCGTACGTCACGTGTAAACAGTGCATTAGGAAATCACGGTGCATTACGCGAGGGGACACGCGTGCAATCCAGCGCACAAGAGCTTCCTGTCTGATCCTCCTCGTTCACCTAGATAATTACTCCTCTCCTCTGCACTCTCCCCGTTCACCTCCACTGCCGATGCTTTGACGACGTTTGCATTCCTGAGCGCGACTACTATCTCCTTTACATCTGCCTTTCGGCCCCCGTATCTCTTTGGAACTAGCTTGCAAGGTAATAGTAGAGGTATAATTGGAGGAGAAGGGGGTGCCAGGCGACCAACGGATCATCCTCTGACGACTCAATTCTGTGTGGGTGGTCACTTTCCGGTGGTTTCGATGCCGAAACGTGATCTGTTCTTGCTGGTTTGATGGGGCTTGACTTTTGTTGGATATGCCTTTCGTTACTGCGGCTGATCCAACGCGAAACTAACTTTTGAGCTCAACGAAATGCAAAGATTTTTTTTTATTGGGCAAAAAATACAATTCTGTATCTCTGTGTATTTATTTTAGAAACATATAGATTTTTCTTTCGGTTAAAAATGGTGGGTTTCCAAAAAAATGTTAATTATCTCTATATGGATTTACACTATTATGACAAACAGGATATTGAAAAAATTTAATGAAGTATCGGTTTTTGGAAAGTTTATCGACCAAGTGGCTCATTTTACAGTAAATACGTACGCCAAAATGAGAAATATTGAATGCTGCGCGTTAAACTTTCAATTAAGTCGCGTCAAGTTGAAAAATTCTCGGCAAACAGGGGAGCAAAGAAAAATACCAACTTTGTAAATAAAAGCCCGATAAACCGGCCGCAAACTTCGCCCCCGGAAATTCACTAGTGGAAAGTCAAGCCCCGATCGCCACCTCCCCCCATCCCCGGCCAACTTCGAAGATTAACCGATGCATAATGCAACTGCTCGAACGCAAAGCCGATCTTCCCCAGGCTCCTATTATCCTCCGTAATTTATGATACTTCATTACGATCGAGGTACAGGAGACGCGGGGGATATCTGATTTCGCTCGTTATTAACATTCCGCCCTTGGTAAAATAATCTGCCAAGGAATCGCAATAATGCGAGTTGTTACGAAGACATTACTAGCTTTTCTTGGGTTAATTTTCAATAAAAAAAAAAAAATGAATACCGTTGAACATACCATCGCGATGATAATACTTCAACTATGTTGGAGGGATAAATCTCACGGGAGCGAGCGAATCGAAACTCGACGGAGATAAATGGCCCGTCGGAACCCACAGGTGAAAGTAAAACACTGTGTACTTTCTCGCGGTGACTGATACCGTTTTCATGCACTCGTGCAAACGGCTTTTGCAGGCAGTTGTTATCCGAACGTGAAATCATAATAATAATGGCTCGCCGGAGAAAAACAACCAGTCACAGCTTATCGCGAGTCCGGTACAAATGAATGACAATACAAACCAGCAGTTTTTTTAACACGTGACGTGAAAAACCGTGGATTCATCAACGTTTCCGTACTTTATTTTGCTATCGCTCAACCAATGCTTTTCGCAATGTGTCCTTAATTTTGTATTGATAAACAGAAGGGCAATAGCTTACGACAGGCCACTAAATTGCTTAAGCTCATGCTTCAGGGATTCTACTTTCTGTATCCAAAGCAACAACCACCGAGTTGTTTGCGCTGGGGGTAATGAGGCTGTCAAGATTGGCTCCTGAAGTTTCCAATCAGGAAACGACAGTCCAAGGGTTCGTAGTCTCTGGAGCTTATTTAGGGAAAACACCACTATGTTTGCACAAATATTTTAATACTCCACCTGAATGCACCTTTTTTTTATTATCACCTTTAACTATTTTGTATGTTTTATGTTTCAGGTAATATTTTCAAGGATTTTCAAACGGTAACTTTGTCGATGCAGCAGTACGGAATCTAGCAAGCAGTGTGAGTCTTCCATCGAGTTAATTTACTTTTTTTTACCTGCGATGCCTTTTCAAAGCACTTTGAATGGGAATACAATTAAAAAAAAAAAAATCGAAAAAGCTCTTACATTGAAAACTGCCCTCCCTTTTACTCGCAGTGGTCAAAAAAAAAAAAAAAATCGCGAAACCCGCCAAACTCCGCGAAGCAAAGAAGGGAGCGCGAAAGCGAAACCCGATAAATTCACTTTGGGGAAGTGCGGGCCAGTGCCGTAATGAAAAAAGCCAACTCTCCCGGAGGCTAGTCGATACACCGGCTACTCTCGCCACGTTTCACGGGTACGCAGTTGCGTTTCGAAAATCCGCTCCCCCCGGTATTTTCCGCTATTTTCCGCACACGCCCGCGCTTTTCCAAAAATTTGGGAAATCAGTAGAGAAGGAAAACCAAAACGCACCGGAGATTGAATTGCGCTCGACGATGCGGTATAATCGGAGATAATCCCGCAAACGCGTGCTGGGATTGGCACTGCCGGGGGCCACTTCGCGACAGGCCAATCAAGCAATTACGCCAATACTTGCGTGCTGTGATTGTACGTCATACAATTTTCATGTATAGAAAGCTGATGATATAGCCACCCACTGACGTTCATTTTGACGACAAAAAGTCTGGCGAGATTGTGGTTGGGAGTAACCCATTTTCATACACGACCACTGGATTTGGCCGTAAGTGGAGGGAGGGGGGGAGTCGCGGATCGAAAGGTATTATCGGTATATAGATCGCGACCCCAGCGAAGCTTAGAAAAATAATATTTCTAGGTCAGCGTGGACGCGAAACCGATATTCGCTGCTACTTTTTTTTGCGAAAGGGAAAAAAGGGGACCCACTACAATGTACTGGATACTTTTTACCGATTTTAAGAGGTTAATTAGATGAAAAATTTAACCGGGGATGGTAATGCGATTTCAGATATCGAGTTATTTGAGCGTAGATAGACGAAAATTCCGTAATAGCTTCCCTCCTAAGCGCTCGGCGAGCGAAAAGCTTTTCGAACCCCTAAAGGTATTACAATTTTAATTGATTTAGCATGATTGTAATGGCTTTGACTGGGCTTTGCCGTTGCATTTTCTATTGATTTTCAATTAAAGATTGTTTCGAAAATCACTTTAAAACCGCAAAAATCCAATTTTCCATACATATTCATTCGTAAAGTAGAAACAATCAGGAAAACCTTGCAGTACATTTTAAAATGAACAACAACCAATCCAATTACTGTAAAACCGCAAAAATCAGCGGAGCAAATCACGGAGCGCGCATGATACACTTTTACAATAAAATCCACCCGGCTTTCAATATCCAACCGCATATCGATATCAAATTCAAATTTGATGCTGCATAAAGCGCCGGGTGGTATACTCTGCATATTGCAGTACACGCAGTGGATACAAAGAAACGACAATGGCTCGCTGCTCTTGCTTTGGCAAGATCATTCATTGGCTTGGCTTCGCAATATTGTTTTTTACAAATTTTTGTTAATGCACCTTTTGCAAACCAGATACATGACGAGATTAATCGAATTAGCTCCCGCGAAACAGGAGAGTTTAAAAAACGATTTATCAAAAACCGATTACGGGTGACTCGGAGGAATTTCCGTCGGAGGGAAGAGCCCTGAAAAATCGCCACTAGCATCTTTTATTCATGAAAAAAAAAATCACCCCTCCCCACCTCCATACTCTCCCAAACCCATCTCAAAGGCCTCGGAGAGAACGTTTGTACCGAATCTTCACATCTCGACCGAGTGTAGAGTAAAGGCTTCCACTTTGGCTACGGTTATGCCGTACCAACTCTCTCCTGTACGTATTATTTGAAATTTTTGACCAGTACTTTTATTTAAATCTACCACCATAGTTACATTTTTAAGTATAATCTTTCTACGCGACAGTATAAGAGCGACCTTAAATACTTCAACGGTAAAGCAACTTTTCCCTCGCCCCCTAAAAGGTTTCGTGCTCCTTTATTTTTTTTTTTTTGTCTGAGGGTGCAACACAGTCCAGAAAAGCGATGCAAAAGCTTATCTAGAACCATACACCAGCTCTCTCTCTTTATCTTTCTCTATAATTCAAACAAACGTTCAAACTTTGGTGCCAGAGTTTGGCTTCGTAAATGCGTTTACAGCCACGCAGTTAGTTCACGCGCTTACGATCTCATGGACTTGGGCATGCATCGAAGCCGGAAATTTACGAATGAACTTTATACGTCGAATCATCAATTGCACCCGTGATCGAGGGGCGCCAAGCGACTACTCCCGATCCGACAAGAAGAGCAAGTAGTTCAAATCGAGTTTGGCGCGCCGTGGGAGCGCTTCTTGCCATTAGCGTGCTCGTTTGGCCCGCGTCTATCTTTCGACACTTGACCTGATTGCTGCGCTCCTCCCCTCCCCTTCCCCCCCCTATCTCACTCTCTAGCATGGACTTTTGATCTTGACGAGCTCAATCACGTGTCAGCCGGATATCGAGGGCCTCGCGTGTAACTTTCCCTCTACCTCCCACTCCCTTCACTTTTTTCAAGGCTAAGGTTTAATTTGCAAAATCATCTTGGCTTACTTTCTGTTGTACAACTTCGTTAGATGCCCATGGCTTTTTCGTAGGATTTTCGATCGGGAAAACAATGATTGACCAACAAAAGCGAGACTCACTCGGCTCGAGCGAAGTGACCTAGGAACGCATAGTGGTGCTCAAATGGGGGCTATGGAGGTCAAAGGGTGTTTTGAGGGAAAAAAACAATAAGTATATCCGAGCGGACTGGCAGAAGAAAAAACATATAAAGCCACCGCGTGGATGATGGAACAAGGTGGTGGTAGTGGTGGTACACTTTCGTCAGCGGCAAAGTAAAACCCACTTTAGCTTCGTTTGTGATCTCGCGGTACGTAAAAATCAAAGGCTGCAAAAGGCTTGGACAAATGCAAACTATTGAATGAGCAAGTGAGGGCACGGATTAGAAGAATAAAGGGAGGGAGAGCCGTGAAGAAGATAAAAAAAAAAAACGGGGAGAGGGAGCTCGACTCATGTATAAAACAGCAGATGGACTAGAGAGGAGCTGAAAAAGATAGGGAGTAAAAGAGGTGAGTGTACACAGAGAGAAAGAGGGGGGGGGGAGAGGCTCGGAGGGGCCAAATGAAAAAGAGATTCGAGAGCACAAAGGAAATGAGATCCCTTCCGCGAGAAATCGAAGGCACTCCCGTCAGTCCGAGAAGAGCGATAAAGAGTGAGCTAGCGATCCATGCTGCGATGTACCTTGCGATCCTGCGCGCATCACAATGGACCCTCACCCCCTGGCTTTTTCAAGAGAAAAACGAAAGAGCAAGAGGATTTGGAGGAGGGACCAAAAAGGGACAGAGAGGTACATACGTATAGTACCATCTCCCCCCCCCCCTCAGCTCGTCTTTTCCATTTTACGAGGTCCGAGGTTAAGAGGAGCCGTTCCTCGCCCGATCTCCTTCATTCCCCCTCTCTCTTCCTTGGGGAGGTAGCCTTCTTTTTTTCGTTTCAAAGCTCCGTTTGTAGAAAGTAATGCATTCCCAGCAGCTCGAGCTTTTTTATTATTTTTTTTTTTTTTTGATAATTTTAATTTGTCCATCCGAAGATACCTTTGCATCTTAATATATTTCCTTATCCCGGACGTTAAAGAAAGATGTCTGACACGGCTAAACTTTCATCACTGCCAGACGAGAAAGTAACCTCGTACCACTAGAACGAGCAGCTCTAATAATATTCCCGAATGGTTATACAAATAAAAGAGGGAAACCAATAAACAGTTCGCCTCTGCCGCAGCGGGGATTAAATTTCCATATGGGTACCCAAATTATCCTCTCGCGCGAGCTTTAATCGGGGCAAATATGGTACAGCTCGAGCAAAAGAAAAACAGTGCGAGGCGAGAAGTGAACAGGAGTATAGCACACGTGCAGCGGAGGACGGGCAAAAAGGACCTTGGACGATAATAAACCTGGGCAGCGGTCGGCCAGCCAGCCGACTTTTATTGCAATCGAGAGACGGGGCCCTGCGGGCAATAAAATTAATTACAATTCCGCATTAAAAGCACCGCGGAATTAGTCAGATGGGAGTTGGCCAACCGAGAGAAAACTCTTTCTACGCCGCTGGTACTGGGGGTGGGGGACCACGCGCATTTTTCACGCTGATAAAGAATCGTACGTGACTCGCGCGAAGCGAGCGTCGACGAAGACGGATAATAAAGGGACTCGGGAGCCGTGGAAAAATGAAAAAGGCTGCTGTTCAGCAACGAGATCACGTATGTAGGCCTCTGGGCTACTGTCCCGCGTTGGATGGGGGAAGACAGTGGGAAATACGTCAAGAAGTCTCGCTGTTATACGCCAGAGTCGTCTCGTTTGCGTAGCGAGACTATTTTGCTGCGGAGGCGCGTCTCATCTTTCAGGCTTAAAACGACAAATGGGAAAATCGTTATTTATTATTTTTGCATGAAAATATATGACATCGAGGATTGGGATCGAGGACTCGGGAGGGGGGTAAGCTTCTTAGGATTGTATTTTTTCGGATTTTCTCCGCGTATGCAAAATATGATTATTACGATTTGTACACGAATTTGAGGATATTTCATTGAACTTTTAATCATCACATCGAATTGACATTGTTATCGCTGTCGTTAGATATTCAGTAGCTGCGGATTTATTCAAAGTATACAGAGTTTAAATTCCCACGAGTTATTGATTAAAATGTTGTTTTTGTTTTTTTTTAACATCCGAATTCCCCTTCCAAGGGTTCCGCAACGAATGTTATTTTATTGTTGACAGTAGCTGTCACGTGAAAAGCTTTTAATCATCTCGGCAGCACAGAAAAAGAGTCTTGTCACGCGCGTTACTTTTATTATTTCACATGAAACAAGAACAAACCCCCCGCTCATCGACAAGCGTATTCAATGCCACCTGCACACGCCCACGCGCAAGTCCGCAAGTGGAAGCTCAGATCACCGTGTCGCGCAGCTCGTGCGACGAAT